CCCAATTGAAAGCAAAAAAGAGGCTCACCAAAAAGCATTCATTCCATGTTTTTCAGAATAAAGTCCAAACTCCTTACCTTAGCACACAATGCTCCTCATTAGCTGGATTGTTGCTACCTAAGTAATTTTCTCTCCCAACCTTATTCTCCCTCCTTCTGTAAGAACTTGCACTGCTCTACACGAGTGAAGCAGAGTCTCTTCCTTCACACAGCCCGTTCTCTCTGGGTTACTCTTTGCTCTTTCCTATATAAGCAAAGCTCTTACAGGTCCTTCAGGGCCTTTCCAGCATTATCATATCAGGCAAGCAGGACCATCCCCTTGCCACATAATTTACAACCTTCCTAGGGTTCCCATTGCAACCTGCATCCCTACATAGTGTTTAACTCACTACATTGCGGTCTTTGGTTTCACTGCAACACTACCCTCCTCTTCTGCTCCAACACAAGCATACACATCAAAACAAAAGCAAATTTTTAAGCTTGGGATCAGGTCTAGGAGGTATGTGTCCCTGGTTCTGGCCATAAGACCTTTTACAGAGTAGTGTTCCCTAGGTGCTTGCTAAACAAAAATATCTAAAATTGATTCTGTCAATTTTTTACTTGAAATCCTGCAATGTCTCTTCAGAGTCTATAGAATAAAACACCAAACACCTCAACATGATGCAGAAGCCCTTGGTGATTTTGCTTGTTCTTACCTCTCCAGCATCATTTCTGCCCACTGCAGACTGATCCTCAGGCCCCCTACCACTCATGCATGCACACACTGGGTGTTCTGCTTACACCTAACCACTTCCAGGGTGATTGTTCTCAGGCCTCTGCACACTTATGCATGCTGCTGACTTTTCTTGGAATGTCTTTAAAAACCAGCTCCAGGGTCACCTCTGCTCTGAAGTTTTTCCATATTCCCCTTTCCCTACTCCTAGCAATGCTAGAAAACACTCTCCTTTGTTCCCAAGCCTCCATCCAGAACTTTATTTTTGCACTTACCACATGAATCCCTTTATTATGTGCCTTTCCTATTAGACTGCAAGTTCCATTGGGCAGGAACATTGCTTAGTTCATCTTTGCATTCCTAGCACCTAGCACAGTGCCTGCCACATGAGAAGCACACAGTTAATGAATATTTTCTTTAAATCCTTTGATTTAAAGGTGTTTAAAGTTCAAAATGTTATTTTTAAACTTTGTATCATTATTTTCATCATTATGACAAACAATATAGAGGTGATGACTTTTTAAAGTGCAAAACCAGAAAAAAAAGCAAGCTCGCATATTGAAGAATATAGGGGCAGGCTACAAATTTTCAAGATGTGTGTTTTTCTACACCTTCCTGTGAAAAGGAGTCACACTGCTAAATAATTTACTGCACTGGGCCATTTGTTCCATTCAGAATTAGGTGAATAAATGCCAGGTTTAGAGCACCTCTTCAATTCACATTTGCATTGCAAAGAATTAGCCATTCAGGCAATTATTTATCTTTATTTTCCTTCACTTCCCTCCATATTTTGAGACTACTTACAAGTTTTCAAAGGACGGGCTATGAATATAGGCTTTTTATGTCAAACTACTTTACAAGTCAAAATGGTTTGTAGCCTCTCTCAGACATTTTTACAACATAGAATCTACATTTTTTCTTGAACTTTGTACACTTTTTTCTATAATATATATTTTCCTCATATTTTTCCATGATAATAAGCCTCCTCTTAGATATTTAAGTCTCCTCTATGGTGACAAGAAGCATACCAATTATTTCAACAAGAAACAAATACAAAAACTGCATAAACTGAGAAAACAGCATTGTGTTATCACAATAATTTGAGATGTCTAGTTGATAATGACACTTAGAATTCACAAGAGCATGTGGTGAGCATTGGCATAGTGCTTCATGTGTGTATCCCAGGTCAGAAGCTGAACTCTTTCTTCTGTGCTTTGGGATTAAAGCCTGAATCACAGAGCCCTGGCTGGGTGGCTCAGTTAGTTGGAGCATTGTCCTGTGCATCAAAGGGTTGTGGGTTCGATTCCTGATCAGGGCACATACCTAGGTTGTGGGTTTGATCCCCAGTTGGGGAGCAAGCTGTAGGCAATCAATCGATGTTTCTCTCTCTCTCTTTCTCTCTCAAAAAAAATAAAAATAAAATAAATCAATAAACATATCCTCAGGTGAGAATTTTAAAAATGTTGAATCACTGAGTGATAGAATTTCCAAACTGAAGAGGCCTCAGAGGTCATTTAGTCCAACTCCTCCATATGAATGCATCCCTTCTACAACATCCCTAGTAAATGTCTCTTCACTCTTTCCTTGAACCTCTTCATGGCTTGAAGGGGGGAGGGGGAACTTACCACCTCCCCCCTCCCAAAGCTCCAGGTAAAAATAAATGCATCTTACTACATTTTAGACAGATTTTCCACCTTCTGTAATAACAGTTATTTTCAGCATTGTGAAACTTACCAATTTGTTTAGTCTGAGTCATATGAGTCTGTTTTGTGTATAAGGAAAGGGAAAAAAGGCAATTATGGAACATGCAAGGCTTTCATTTCTATTTACCTGTCTACCTATATGCTGCCTCTTTCCAGGAAGGATCTTAAATGAAATGACTTAAGACACGTGGATGCAATAGAGTTATTAAAATAGAAATTCAAAGTCCTGAAAAGAAATTCTTGACTCAAAGGCTAATGCAGTTGCTGGCACTGAAATTAAATTTATCCATGGGCTTTCTACAAGTCAATATAAAAGGAAAAATATAGTATATTACACAGTTCTCCTTATCTGATGGAGGAAAGTATACTAATTCTCCATTAAACGAAAACTTTTCTGAGTTTCAAGTAACAATGGGAATTTCTCATGTAGCATCTTATAAAAGAGATGTATTTCTTAGTTTTCTATGTGCATTCATTTCGCCCTCTAATGTACTGCCAAGAACAGTGCTGAATACTCCCTTAAACAATCACACACCTCACTACCTCAATCCAACATCAACCAACCTTTTTGAAAAGTCTGTTGAGCATAGACAAAGCATGGGCTCTGCCTAACTACTTTTCCAAAGGGGGCTGGGAAAACACCTTAAACTAGCAAAATCACTTTCTTTGGTCAACATTATGTGGCAATAGCTTCCATATTCCCAAATTTTAGTATATGAAAAGAAATGAGAAATTGAGTTCATCTCTCCTGGGGCATTACCATCATTCCTTCACCTTTTTTGGAAACAACTGCAGTTGGGTGATCACTACGCACAAATCCATGTCCTTGTGAACTGAGAGAGGTGTATAGAACATGCAAGCAGGGAGTGGAGTAAGGGTCTGCCTGAATACCTGATAAGACGTTGGCTCTCTTAGTGATATTATGAAAGCAAAAGGTGTTATTAAAGCTGGCCTTGCTGCTGGAGGTAATATGAAGAATCTGGAGTTTCTCACTTGCCCCTTAAACACTCCAAATTATTTTCCCAGGAAGGGCATTATAGAGCCCTGCAGACTGAAAAGTTACTGTGACTTCCTGCAGTGAAGCTCCTGTGGTTTTACAGTACTTTCCCCTGTTCTTGGATTAAAGAGTGGGGGACATATGGTCACACACTGACCATTTCGCCTCTGAAGGCCTTTCTGGTGCCTAGCATCATAAAAGGCCCTCAGTAAAAATAAATTGCTTTCCTCACAGTGATTATCACAGTTGTTTGGACTTTACCTAGACTACTTGGTTCCATCATTAAATTTTAAATTACTGAAGACAGAGAGCTCTCACTTCCTTGCCCACACATGAAGCCAGCCAGGCCTAGCTCTGCTTCCTTCTTTATGGCTAGAAAAGACACCTGTCATCTGCGCTTCGTCTGTCCAAATGTGGCAGCTCATGTTCTCTTCTTTCTTTCCTTCCTGTTAATAATATTGGTGTCATTATTACTGTTGAAGTATCTGGATTACATCTGAAGTTCCCTTGAGACCAATAAGCTAGATTCAATGATCACAAATGAGTTATTGTAAAGTGAGTGCAAGTACAGTGAAATTAACTTCCATATTGAATGAGGCTATTGGTACCCTAGACAACCGAATATAGTGATGGTGTTACCACAGAGACAATGAGGGAGATCTCACACTTATTCTGAAGAAGGCATAGGAACACCTTTAAATGAGTAACACAAAACAAATGAGCTGGGTTTTTACAGAATTACAATACACTGAATAAACATTTGTTTAAAGCTAGGATAGTACAGGGACATCACAGTAAATGCTAATGTACATGCTGATGGTTGGCAAGTGCAAATAAGCATGCTAATCATTATTCCACATCACAGTTTATTATGACATACAACTGCCAGAAATCAATGTCAAATCCAAGCACGAACCAGCTACCAACAGCATAATTTTCTCTTCATTTTTAGCTATTCTGCCCTCCAAAGCCCCTTTATGATTAGCAAGAAGCCTGGGAATAGGGGATGAAAGATAAAAATAAAAGAGGTCTATGAGTTATTAGATAATTTTTAAATGCCATGCATTGGGGGAGAATCGCCAGTTGAGACAAGTACATATTTCCCTAGAGGATTTTAAGGTATCCCAAAGCGTGCATGATGCACTGGTGAATGGTGGTCTCTAAGAAAGCTCCCTGCTTTGTGTAGCTGAGTCGCACAAATACCTGGTGTGCAAGAAGTTGGCATAGCAACTCTGCACTGCAGTTGTGAATCACAGAGTAAACAGGTACATAAAACAACTACTTGAATGTGCTTCTCCACAAAGTGGTTAAATCTTGTAAGCATTTTTTTGGAGCTTCTCTTTTTGAGAAATACAAACTCTTCACTCTAACAACTTAAAGCAGCTCATTTGCTGAACAAGAGAGGATATTCGTGACTCATGGAAAGGTTTATTCTCTGTATTTTCCCTGGATAAATAAGATGACCTTTAGCCTAAAATTTCCCCCTCACAGTAGACATAATTCTCCATTGACTAGAAAACAGTACTAAAAAACAAGTTTTTCTGTGTTTGTTTAAAAAAATATGTACTTCTAGGAAAAGAATTGCTTACCTCTTGGCAACAGGTCCCTTGAAATCTGGATCAAATTCTCTTGAATCACCTGCATTTAAAACAAATAGCTTTTTAAGCACATAAGCCAATGAAATGGAAAATAAATACATATAAAATATGAATAAAAAATCTACATCTTGGCTAGTCAACTGCTCAGTGCAGTGTTGAATTCATCCTTCTGTCCAGTGAGACTCCAGTTATACCTTGCCTACAGCTGTCAAACTTTCTCCCTCTTTCCAGCTAGAAGCAAGACTAAAAAGAGTCATTAAGGACCATAATCTACGCACCTTGCACACATAGCCTCTCACTGTTCTGAGCAGCAACGATATAGAGTGTATACCAAACAGGAAATCTGAAGCCCTTCCAACCTACAAAGACGTTTTGCCATCTGCCATGGCCAAGTATTGCTGAGTACTTGTGAAGAGCACAGTATAACAGAGATGCCTGCTTATCCCAGTTCTCCCTGTCCTCTTGGGGGATTAGGCTTTGCTTCAAGAAGCTGGAATATTAGTCACCGCTGTTCTCTGCCATGTTTGCTGTATGACATATATAAATCATTATTATAATATATAAATGTCATTTGTATTGACTTTTTTTTTAATTTTTTTTAGACCCACTACCAGACTTCACACCATTTGGGGATATGCCCTAGTCATTCATTGTTGCATCATGATTGCAATATATTACCCTCATCATAAAGCACCTATTGTACTCCGAGAGCTCTGAGGGGATACGGAAGATAGATAAGGCGTGGTCCCTATTTTGGAGACCTTACAACTGGTGGGGCAAGGTCCACATATCGATTCAGTCAACAGATGTTTTTTGAGAATCTTTATATACCAGGTCCTGTGCTATAATACATGAACAATGAATATACCATATAAAACAATTAATAAAGGACTAAATTGTGTGGTATTAGCTTTAAGTGTTACAAGAGCTCTGAGAAAGTAGGTTTCATCAAGGACTAGAGGAGTCGAGAGGGTTTCATTCCAGAAATGAGATTTTTTTTTTAACAAAAAGGAAAGGAGAAATATGCTGGGTGGTTAAAACTAGAATTCTGTTAAATTCTGTAACTGTTTATTGATCTCTTGTTATGTGCTCTGCATTAAATGAGGCACTACAGGAGATACAAGATTTAGTGAAGCACAGTTTCTGTCTTCAACAAGCTAACAAACTAGTGAGCAGGGAGAGAAATAAGAAAAGTATACAAATCACTATAATACAAGGAAGGTATGACAAGAGGGGTACATAAAAAGTGTTAGGAGAGTTCTAAGGATGGAAAGGTCACATTCAGTTGAGATTAGTCAGGAAGGGTTCCTAGAGCCACAATATTTTGGGACAGGTAAAGTTTAGACCTGTAGAGATGACTTAAGTCATAGAGCTGGGAATGCATGTCCTGTTTGTGGGGATGGGAAAAAGATCAGCTTGAATGGAGTACTGGATAATGGGCTAGGAGGGAGGAAAAATAAAGCGGAATAGAGTATGGGATCAGACTACAGAAAGCCTAAAACCAGGGATGGAAATTATTTTTCATCTTAGGCCACAGGGAGCCATAGGAGTTGAACAAGGGGGGCATGGTAGAAGCAGGGCTTAAGGAAGAGCAATCGAGCAGCAGTGTGCAAGTTGTATTACAATGTGCAAAGTCAAGGAGACCAACCAGCAGTCTATTGCAATAACAGAGGGGAAGTAACGTGAGCTACTTCCACCGAAGAGAAAGATTCAAGACTCATCAGAGTGGTCAGGTGGCTTAGGGATCAGGAGTAATGGCGCGAGAGTCAGGCTGCTGTTCTTTATCACTTACTTTCAGTGACCCTAGACAGGTCATTTCACTTCTCTGAGTCTCAGTTTTCATATTTGTACATGGGGATTGTAGCAGTACCTATGTCATAAAGTTGTTATGAAGATTGAATGAATTAATACCTTTAAAGGTGCTAAACACAGTGGCTGGTGCTTAGTAAGCCCCCAATGTTCATTATTAGCCACATAATTACATGAAAAGATAAGTAGAAGTTGATGCATGTTAAGACGTGGGGTTGTTGTGAGCAATTTTTCCTATGTCTCTTAGCCATCTGTATGTCCTCTTTGGAGAAGTGTTTATTTAGGTCCTTTGCCCATTTTTTAATTGAATTGTTTGTCTTCCTTTTGTTAAGTTGTGTGAGTTCCTTATGTATTTTGGATGTGGGGTTTAAAAAACAGAAGTCAAAGATGGCTCCAAATCAAGAGCATACAGATCTAGACATTGTGATTCACAGTTACTTCTGGTCTTTTACCTTGGTTTAAAGAAAGGTTGATGCTATTAAAACAGTTGGGAATGTTAGTGGGTGGAAGAAATTATGAAGTTGTTATAAGAAAAAGAGCATGAAATTGATTTTTGCTCTTTTTAAGTTTGAAGTGACAACTAATTGAAAAATCCGGCATTCAACCGCAGTTAAGAAACTGGAGCCTTGGGTCAAGTCTTGAGATACATATTTGGAAATCAAGTTTATATCATGAAAAGTGATGAGCTCCATTAAGAACATTGGATCTGTCAGGTATGCAGAGTAATGTTATAATGACAATAACAATAATGTTTAACATGCTTTTATTTATTAATTTAATTTATTTTTAAGAAGTTTAAGATTTTTTAAAAATATCTTTTTATTGATTTCAGAGAGAAGACGGGAGAGGGGAGAGAGAAACATCAATTGGCTACCTCCTGCATGCCCCCTACTGGGGATCGAGCCTGAAAACCGGGCATGTGCTCTGACTGGGAATTAAACAAGTGACCTCCTGGTGCACGGGACGACATTCGACCAACTCAGCCACACTGGCCGGCCTAACGTGATTTTGGCATTAAATGCTAAGCACTGTACTAAGTGTTTTTTTGTACTACTTTGTTTTCTTGACACAATAATCTTATTATGTAGGAGGACTGGAAACTATTATTAGCCTCATGCTACATATGTAAAAACAAGGCATAGAGAGGCTAAGAAACATGCCCACAGTCACATAGATGAAAAATGGTCCACCTGGAATCCACACCACCCAGTCTCACTGTAGCACAACAGATCCTATTAGTCGCACCCTGTAAAGCCAACATTGGTTCCTACTCCAGGAGGAAGTGTGTAAAATGTTTCCTGTTTGAGACAGTCCATATATACTTCAGTGTCAAGTGTTCTGACACACTGTCAGCTTCTCTTTTTCTGACTGCTTGAAGGACTCTGCCTCCCAGTAAGAAATACGTTTCAGGGTGTCTAATCCCCTTTCTCTGGGAGCTGACCTCCTCCAGTAGCCAAGTTTCTCCCGTGTGCCTGTTTCCTGGCAATCAGTGACTGGGTCTAGTTTGGACACGAGACCCAAGCTGGGCTGCTCATTGCTGGCCACTCTATCCCAGGACCGTAGAATTAGAATGGACAGTAGTTAGTCAGTGGGAGATTGAAACTGCAAAATATAAAGCTTGAAGATCAGAGAAGCAGAGAAAGCTGGCTTTCAGAAAGAAATTACTGAAGCAAATGTAGAAAGAGAAGCAGGGATGGGAGTTCTGCTGGGCTTTAGGCTCCTGTTTCAGTCCCTACCTGAGGCCCAGAGTTCAGCTTCATGAGACACCTGTATCCTTTTACTAAAGTCTCCTTCCTTGATTTTTTTTTTTGCTAGTTCGGTTATGGGCATCCAAAGAGTCCTACTAGTACATTCACTCTCTTAGCTCAACTTAGGTTTCAACAATTCATTTTAACAACATTTATTATGTTCTCACAATAGACAGGTGGTGGGGATCCAAGGATGAATTCTTGAGACTAAGTCTGCTTTCACAAATCTCACAGTTGAATAAGAAATATAAAATCAAGACAATAGTTGCAACACTATGTGATTGCCATGATAGAGACATGCAGAGGGTGCCATGGGGCACAGAGGGACTCATCAATGGGTAGGTGTCCTGTCTCCAGCTCCTGACTGATTCTGAACTTGGGCTTCACCTTCTACCAACCCTCTGGCCCCAGTGCCCTTTGACTTGGCTCTTCCACTCTGTGGATAACTGGTGCTGGTATTCTTGCTGGTCCAGGTTTTAGTCCCCTAAAGTGGCTGAACAGCTAAAATATCTCAGAACTCTTTTGGGGGTGGTTGGGAGGTACAAATTTCCAGCCCTTCCACCAAATACTCTATTTCTGTAGGTCTGGGATGCATCTGGAAATGTGCAATTTTTAAAAGTCCCACCAGAAAATTCTGATGCACAATCAGACTTAGGGAGCACTAGGCCACTTAATTTATTCTGAATTTCATTCTTAACCTCTATCTTAGTTCATACGTAGTCGTTAATTCTAGCTGTATGTAACAGAACAAACCTGATGGGATGGGAGAAAAGCAGCTCATCGTGATGTGTGTGAGCTTTGGGGAACACCACAATTAAGGGTAAGAGAAAAACGGACAGTTATAGAAAGAGAAACAAAAAAGTGACATTTAAGAAAGCTAAAGAATTTCAATAAAGAAGGAAGATTATAAATGTCCCAGAAAAATGATTTTTAAGTGAATACTTACTTGTACCAAGGACTGCTATAAGTACTTTATACACACATATGCTTTGTTTGCATAATTCCACATAGAATAAGGTGAATTGTCCCCCCTTGAATTGTGCAATACAATATCAGTGGTATATTTATGATGTCATGTAATGATCCCAGTAATTCTGTGATTTAAATCATTGTTATCATTCCATTTTAAGATGAGAAAGTTGAGGCACAGAAGGGCAAGCAGATGTGCTCTAGCCTACTCAGTTAACAAGAGGTAGACAGGGAACTGGAAGGCGATCTGACCCCAAAGCCTATATTGAGCTCCTGGGCAGTAAATCCCTCATTAGTGACCTTAGAGAGATTCCACAGATGACTGGGGAGAGAAGGTGGGATGAAAAGGGTTAGGAACTTTTACTGCTCCTGTAATTATTCTCTTTTTACATTAAAGATAAGCTAAACTGGTTTAAAAGTATCGAGGCTGGCTTTCAATTTTGGTGTGATTTGTACTTCAGCAAGTGAAAAAGGAGACTGCAGGGTAAGTGAAAATGCTATTGTCAAATCTGTC